ACAGGAACCTTACAGTTATTTAAGCATACCTCAGGGGTGTGGGTGTAATTTACCATATTAAAAATATAATGCCATAATAATAAATAAGAATAAACATACCAATTTATGGTCTTTCCTCTTGAACTTCCAATTGCATATGGTCCAAACTATATTATATTGTGCAAAATAAAGATATAAAATTATGAGCACGTGGGCAGCTAATCAATTAAATAAAAATAAAGGAGTAGTTGTTCTTGACTTGGTCTAATATGTGGATATAGTCTTGGTCTTGCTGTCGAAACCCTCGTTGATTTTCTTTTTCTTTCTAGAGCTTAGTGACGTTTTATACTTTTTTCTAATTTTTTTTTTCAATTAAATTATTATTAAATGAAATTATGAAGTATGAACCGAGGAATTATAAAAAAAAATATATGGTCTAAACTAAAACTTAGAAATGGTTACTACATTGTATGTCAGTCGGAATTTTTTCCAAAATTATTAAATATAATTAATTTTCCAAGAACAACTCTAATTTAATAATATATCCTATATAATTTGTATCTATAGTTTTCTTTACTAAGAACACATGAGTTAGGTTAATTTTATCAAATAATTGTATTTGATTGTTGACTTCAGTTGGTACTCCGTGTTTTCGTTGGCGACTAATTTTACTAACAATGCTTTCTATAAGGAAGTTTTTCAGCGAATAATGAAAGTGCATTGGATGAGATAGTTGCAATATTGGATCAGATGATGCATCTTATTTTTTATATCACAATTTTCGTAATTTATATTTTATTTTATCATTTATTTTATTTAATTTGGTACTCAAATCAAATGAAATGGATATTATTCTTTTAAGTTTTTTGAATTATACTGCATTATATATCAACTATTCAAAGCTACAACTTGAATTTACAATAAATAAAGGAAAATAAATCATTAACACCATGACATGATCATGAATCATTTCTTAAAAAAATATATACATTTAACTACTATAAAATACAAGTTAGATAATTTTGCACTATACATGTACAAATACATGTGAATGTGTTTAAATCTGTTGCATAGACACTTCTAAAAGATGAAGAGTCCATGTATCCGATATCTGGACACTTAGATATACTCGGACACAGCTCGGACACCCATGTCGAATCGTATTGTAATTGCACTAAAAGTAGGACATCCATGTCGGGCAGTGTCCGCAATTTTTAGAAAGTTGGGACACAGTTCTTATGTTTTACGAGAAAGCCCTAATAAAAAATATGTATTTTCATTTCTCTGTAATACACATTTCTTCTGTCTTTTTTGAGAGTCCATCCAAAAGTCCAAAACTCTAGCGGCGATGGCGACCAAGAACACGAGCAGCAAAGGCGAGCGGTTCTCTTATGCGATTTGGCGACTTATAATATTTTTTTTATAATTTATAAATGTACCACTATAATTTAGTAATATATAAATACACCCCTATATTTTTTATATTTACGCGTATCTCCTCGTGTCCGTATCCTAATTTTTTAGAAATACAGTATCACCGTGTCCGTATCGGCGTATCGCCGTATCCGCGTGTCCGTACCCTAATTACATCTTGAGTTCACAAATGTATTATTATCTAACAAAACCGTCAACGCGGTTACCAATTTCTTAAACCAAAAACCACCATCCTATATTTTCTCTCTCTAACTTACATACAAAAAACCAAAAGAAAAAAAAAAAATACACGGTAACTAACAACCATCATTTGATCTATATAATTTCCAAATACCTACTCAATCATACAATTCAACTTCTCTCTCTCTCTCTCTCTCTCTCTCACACACACACACACACACACACAAACACACACAAAGAGACGCACAACCTTGCACATGGCGGCGAACCGGTGGGTACTGATCGGGCGGCTGAAAAGGGCGGTGAAAAAGATAAAATTCCTGCTCGATTACAACGTGAACAGATTGAAGCTGGCATCAATGATCGGGGGCTCACCCAGTAAGAGAAGATTAAGCTTCAACGAGAAACCCGGATTAATAGGGTGTGTGGAAGATCCGGACCCGTACGAGGAACCCGGATCCGCGAGGAGTCTTCACCGGACCGTTAGCTATCCGTCGGAAGATGACGTGGACAACAGAGCCGATGCTTTTATTACCAACTTCTACAAGCAGCTTCAGTTTGAGAGGCAAATCTCTTTGGAGCTCAGATATTACAATAGGGATAACAGCTTTGGCTCTGCAATATCTCCATGATTATTTTTATTAGTTTTTGAATTTTATTATTCAATTTTTTTTTTCGGGATTAATGATTTTTTGAGTGTGTTTTTTTTTTTCTTGGAAGAAATTAAAGATAGATGGATGGATTGTTTTTTTTTTTTTTTTTTTTTTTGTAATATAGCAGCCATTGGAGACTTGGTGGTGGAGACTTGAGTTTTTATGAAAAGGGTCTTCATCGTCACAAAAAGAAGTATACAAATTTTTATGTGTATGCAATTTTTGTTTTGCTTAGTTGTTTTATTCTTTTTAAATTATTGATCTGTATGTAGTTGTTCTTGTTGTTGATGATGATGATGTTGATGATTGATGAATTAATATATATTGTGAGGATTTTGATGGTCTTTTTAAATTTTTTTTTTTTTTTTATGTTCATTGTATTTTGAATATATATCCCTATCATTAATTCATTCAATTGTTTATTCTCGGGGGAAAATTGTAGTTTTGGTCCTCTGTTGGCCTATGTAGGAATTTAATCCTCTAACTTGTTATGTTTTAGTTTTGTATGCAATAACTTTGCAAATATAGTATTTTTAGTCTTATTTTAGTATTTTCCGCACTTGAAATTAGCTTAGAGGTAGAAGAAAACAACTATTTAATTTATTATTTTGCATCGCAGAAATATAAAAACCAAGAAAAAAAAATGAGATTTGTCTTATTAAGTTTTAAATATTCAATTCAGCGTGCATTGTAAATGATCTATTGTGTTTCGAGGGTGTAAAGTGCTATTAATATTTTTCAATGGTGTAAAATTCCTACAAGTTAAATTTCGAGGGTGCAAAATGAAATTAAATCTATTGTTATCAGAAAAAAAAGGTATATAAATTTATAACTTGATTGGGCCGGTATCTACATTTTAATGGGCTTACATGGATTTGGGATTTCATATGTTTAAAATACCACAAAATATGATCGGATTATTTTTAAATTATGAACATATATGATCGGATTAAGGCTCACAAGTGCTCATTCCTTTGTAATTCTGAATCTAGAGAGAGAGAGATATACAATTGGAGAGATTGAGATAAAACACTACATGAGAATTGAGAGATCATCTTTAATTCTGATACGGGCCACTTTGACCGAGACGAATAAATATGAACTAAGAAGAACCAATCCACTATTGTAAGAAGAGATACCAAGCTACGATCTCCGAATAACGACTCAAGATTTCGGAACACCATAGCTCGCAGCCCAGTGTAAAGACGACCTAAAGCAGACCCAAATAATAAAGACCCAAAACACGTGACTTGAAGGAAAAGCAAACCCTAAAAAAGGAAACATTGGCCTCCAAGGTTTCATCACCTATAAATAGAGGAAACATCATCCATTCACACACACAATTTTTATACTTTTACTGCAATAATATTTTAAATCAATAACTGACTTGATCGTCAGAGCTTTCCCGCCGGCATCTCTCCCCGGCATTGCAGGTATCTTCATCGGAGGGCAAACTAAGTATCTTGGAGAAGAAGGAAGCCCCACGGACCAAATCAAATTCTTAGTTCTTAGCGCACTTAGAGTTTTCTGATTTTCATCAATCATATTGTACGTAATCGAAATCTCTGTTGTTCTTCGATCAATATTAAAAATTGTTCTAAGTTGCTTGGTGGATGTAGGTTCAAACAGAATCGAACCACGTTAATTCTTGAGTCCATTGTTCGATCTCTGTGAAGATCAATTGCACACACAAATATTTTTTCACAAGACACCTGTTATATTATCATTGTCGAAACTGAAATGCTAATTGTAGCGGAACTTTTACTGAAATTGGCTTATTTGCAGCGGTAGTCTCATTTGTCAATTTTCTAACTTTCTAAAAAAACCGAAACGCTCTCAACTAAAAAAAATCGAAAACTTAGAATTTGAAGCTCGTTCGACAAATTCAAAAACGAACAACGATTTCTTCAATGGCTGGTCCGAATAACTTTTATATGGTAAAAAGAAAGAAAAAAAAAATTAAAAGTTGGTTTAATCGTGCTATACAGCACGAGAAGTATCAAAAAAGGGGAAAAGATTGAGTTACCCGTGCTGTACAGCACGGGAACTTGGGTTTCAATTTTCTTTTTTTTTTTTTTTTTTTTTGTATTATTAATTTTTATATTCCTTTATATTATTAATTTTTATAATTTGGTAGGGTGATGATGGTGATTTTGACGAAAAATTTGATGATGAATGTACAAACGAGTACAATAATCCGAATATGTGTTATCATGGTCCTCAAATAATTAGAAAATTCGATATTTAGAAAAAAATATTAAAAAAAAAATAAAAAAAATAAAAAAAATATTAAAACTTTAAGTTCCCGTTCTGTAGAACACGGGAACTTGAATAATCTTCAAGTTCCCGTGTTCTGCAGAACGGGAACCTCATGTTTTTTGAGTCCTCCGTCCTGTAGAACACGGGAACATGAAGATTATTCAAGTTCCCGTGTTCTACAACATGGGAGATTCATATCTAAATTTTTGTTATTTTTTTTCCGAAAATAAAAATTCAAAAAACAGTTTGAAGGTCCCGTTTACTGGAGCACGAAAATTTGAATCTCCCGTTTTCTGGAGCACGGAAACTTGAAGTTTACTCGAGCTTCCGTGCTCCAGAAAACGGGAGATTCAATTTTTTTTACGAAATTCGAATTTCTAGAGAGTGTTTGGAATAGGAGAGAGAAATTGAAAAAAAAAATTAAATGAAAAAGGTACCGCTGCAAATAAGCCAATTTCAGTAAAAGTCCCGCTGCAAATAGCAAAACCCTTGTCGAAATTCATTATGATAAAATTCATTATGATAAAATTCATCAGCACTACTTTAATACCAAAATCGGATACTGTACAGTATAGTGATAGCCATAGGTATAAGTTATAACTAATTTATGTTGGAATACTGTTTTGGTAATAATTGAATATTACTTTTTAAAAAGCAGTTCAAAACGTAAATATATGTTTCTGAAAAAAAGACGTTAAGTTTATAAAATCAGCGGCGGAGCCAGTATCGGGGCATGGCCACCCAGAAAATTTCTCAAGTTTCTATTATTTTATATAAAAACCATTAAAAATTTGTGTCTAAAAAAAAATTATCAGCTCCCTCACATAATTCTTTTTAATGCATTTGGTTCCCTCGAACTTAAAATTCTGGCTCCGTTACATTGACAATCACCCCATACGATTAGGGCTCGTGTTCGTACATAGCTGCAGATATTTAGACCACTAACTAACAATAAGGTCGAGTTGATCATATAATTACAAAAACAACACCTAACAAACAATTAGATCACTAATTATTAATTAGGAAAATACCACTATCTAAAAATAAATTCCTAACAAAACAGAGTGTGCATTTTATCAACTCTTTACTTCATTTACTCACTTGTTTGAAACCAGAACTGCACAAATCATATAATCTTCTGCAAAACGAATCAACCTGAAAATCACCAATTAGCCTGAAATGGAGCCAAAATCAGAGAAGGAGCATATCTTCCGTTCTAAACTTCCAGATATTTACATACCAAATCATCTCCCAACGCACATTTATTGCTTCCAGAACCTGCCGAACCACCGCTCGCGGCCAGCTTTAATCGACGGCGCCACCGGTAATGTCTTCACCCACGCCGAAGTTGAGCTCACCGCCCGCAGAGCCGCCGTCGGATTTCGCAAACTAGGTATCCGGAAAAACGACGTCGTTATGCTCCTGCTCCACAACTCGCCGGACTTCGCCTTCGCGTTCCTCGCCGCCTTCTTCGCTGGCGCAGTCGCCACCACCGCGAATCCGCTCTACACGGCGGCGGAAATCACGGCGCAGGCGAGGGTATCGAAGCCGAAACTCATCGTCACCCACGCCTGCTACGTCGAGAAGGTGAAGCGCTTCGCCGTGGAGGAGGAGGAACGCGGCGGCGGCGCGGTGGTAATAATAGCCACGATCGACCCCCCGCCGTCGCCGGAGATCGTCCGCTTCGCGGATCTGAAAAATTCCGACGAGAGACTGCTGCCGGAGGTCGAAATCGACGCGGACGACACGGCGGCGCTGCCGTTCTCCTCCGGCACAACCGGTCTCCCCAAGGGGGTGATGCTGAGCCACAAAAACATAGTCACGTGCATCTCACAGAAAGTCGACGGCGAAAACCCCGCCTACCACATCGATTCTCGAGATCTGATGCTGTGCTTGTTGCCGTTGTTCCACGTTTACTGTTTGGTGTCGGTGCTGCTCACCAGCCTGCGTGTAGGTGCGGCAATTCTGATTGTGCCGAAATTCGAAATCAATCAATTAATGGAGCTGATACAGAAACACAGGGTCACAATCGCCCCCCTTGTGCCGCCGATACTGCTCGCCATCTCGAAGAGTCCGGCGGCGGCGGTTAGGTTTGACCTCTCGTCGGTGAGGAGAGTAACTTGTGGTGCGGCGCCGATGGATAGTCAACTTGAATGTTCGGTCAAAGCCAAGCTCCCTAATGCAACGATTGGCCAGGTAATTTTTTAATTAGTTACATAATCACTAATCACTAATCACTAACACAATAATTAGTTTATAATCTTCAATTATTGGGGAATTTTACTTAAAGTATACTTGTACTAGATATTGATAAATTCTTTTGTTTTTTTTGGGGTGTGGTTTGAAAAGACACGTTTTTAAAAAAAAGTTGTTGCTTTGTTGTGATTTAATTACGAAAATATCCATGTCAGTGATTTCACTGTTAGCACTCATTGGCGGTAGGTGCGATTGGGACCCAGCACCTGATTTAAAAATGCTTTTCAATTGAATAAAAAAACTAGTGGATGAAAAAAGTAAACAAAAGGTTTTGGCGGGAAAGAAAGAAAGCGGGTTCCCCCAAATCTCGATTCGGTGTAACGCTTTTAAAACTGGTATTTTCTGAGGTCACTCATCCCCACCTCAAGGGCCCACCCGTCTTGTTCTTGTCGTACTATCAGTAAAATAAAAAAAAAGTTTAAATTACGGTCACCCTTTGAGTAAAGTCAAATGATAAATTTTTTTCCTCATATTTAGGTAATTACAACTATTACACTTTCATTCGTATGATGCTAGATTCCGTGAAATATTCTCTAATTTGTACTCGTATTGTGCAAAAATGCATTTTCTGATACACCATAATCTGATATTTACAAGTAAGAAACACATCTTATGATCATCTTGTTTCAAAATTTGGAGCTCAAATGAGATAAAACGAGTACAAATTGGAGAATATTTCACATATTCTAAAAGATTTCACTAAGTTTGACACTACAAGGGTCGATATGTAAGAAGATTCATAGTTGAAGGATGGTTGTAATTACTCAAACATGAGGAGTTTTTTCGTAATTTGACCGTACCTCAGGGAATGGCCGTAATTTACGCTAAAAATTAAGTACATTATTATTGGTGCTTTAATCTATGTATATATTCTCATCTCTCCGGTGCTATTTTCGTAGCTAGTGAATGAACTAATTTTAATTTGGACTTAATATGAATGTATTGATATTTGAGTGAGAATTATTGGTCACATTTCTAATTTCTAGTTTTTAATGTGAAATACTAAAAATAACTGTGTTTTTTCACAGGGTTATGGTATGACAGAAGCTGGAGTACTATCAATGTGTTTAGGATTTGCCAAAAAACCATTCAAATTCAAACCAGGTTCATGCGGAAACGTCATTCGAAACTCCGAGATGAAAATTGTCAACCCTTTGACCGGCGCATCTCTTCCGCGGAATCAGACTGGAGAGATTTGCATCAGAGGAGACTCTGTTATGAAAGGTAATCACTTTCCTTGAGTTTATTGCAAATAGTACCCCTATGTTATATTGAATTGCTAAAAGACCACCCTATGTTATTTTATTGACAAAAGCCCACCTCTGCTTTAACTTTTTTAACAATTAGTACCCTGTTTAGGGGGTTGTGTGCTAAAACAAATTGAATCATAAGACGTTTTCGCAAATAAAATAACATATGGTAGTTTTTTTGCAATTCGATATAACACAAGAGTTATTAATTGCAATAAACTACCCCACTTCCTTTGGATATTAAAATTTGAAATAAAATAGAAGTTTGTGTAAATGTTTAATTTATGAATATTTAAAAAGGTTATTATAATGATCCGGAGGCGACCAAGAGGACAATAGACAAGGACGGGTGGCTGCACACGGGCGATATCGGTTACGTGGACAGTGATGATGAGGTGTTCATTTTGGATAGGTTGAAGGAATTGATTAAGTACAAAGGTCTCCAAATCGCTCCTGCTGAACTTGAAGCTTTGCTAATAGCCCATCCATCTGTTTCCGAGGCTGCTGTTGTGCCGTAAGTCGAAATTTTCAACTTTTATGGGGTCTCTTTCGTAATTAATCAAAAAGCTCGATATGTGGAAGATTATACATGCTTCCTTCTTCTATAATGTCTATTGGCTTGCAGTTTGGTGTTAGTGTCGCGTCACGGAATATTAGATGCTACACCTGGTTATTTACTTTGGGTGGATTTGAACCGTAAATCTACACATAATCACTTACATACTCATGTGTATGTAGGGGATTTGATGCTACACCTGGTGATATGCACCGGGTGCTTTTTAACCCTTGATTTGCACATAAATCACACACACGCCAATCTGTTATGTGCTTAGTGGGCAGTTATTTAACCTCATCAACGGTTAAAAAACACCGCGTGTATATGATCACCCGGTGTGGCATCTAAACCACCATGTATGTGTGCTTAGTGGGTAGTTATTTAATCAAATTTATTGTTCAAATCCACCCGAAGTAAATAATCATGTAACATCTACTCCCCATCAAATCACTATCGATTAAATTGAATGTGATTGTACTATTTATAATAGTGTGATCTTAGATTATATCTCTGTTTTAGTTTTATGATTATAAAATGTAGTATTATGTAATATATATGTTTAGCAAAGTGTGAATATACAGTATTTCTCTATGCTTAGTTTCACTAATTGAAGATGTGGCTATGTCACACGTACAGTATGAAAGATGAAGTAGCAGGAGAAGTTCCAGTTGCATTTGTAGTGCGAGTAAACGGTTCAAATATCTCCGAGCAAGAAATCAAGCAATATATCTCCGAGCAGGTACCGCTTTTTTTTAATTATAGTTTTCCTGCTATAAATGAGTTCAAATCAAGATCTTCTCATCTTGAAAGTGAAATTATTAAGTCCGCTTAAATAATTTTTTATGTCGAGAAACTATTCATGAAGATATGAATCTACATTACAAAAAAATTGCCACATTTTTTAAGATGGAACGCTCGTAGTTTATTTTAATCAGGCTGAAATTTAGTTACAAATTTATTCAAATTGTATTTGTACGTTTCAAAGTCTGCACTTGCTTTAAAATAATATTTGAACTTTGTAAAATAAAAAAAACTTTAAAATTTCCAAACAAAACATAAAGAAAAAATTAAAATTGGTAAAAATCAGATCTCAATGCATATATATCTTGCTTTGATTATGAAAGTATAGTAGTTTCTGAAAGAAATTTTAGTTGATGGTTCATATGTTTGTTATACAGGTGGTGTCGTACAAGCGGATTAATCGAGTGTTTTTCACGAATGAAATTCCCAAAGCTCCATCTGGTAAAATTTTGAGGAAAATTCTGCGAGCAAAGATATAATAATCTCCAGTATATTTCAATCTAATCATGCACAAAAGTACGTAATAGTACGATAGTTGCAACACCAACATATTATAGGTCCGACGCCCTAAGTTGGCTAATGCAAATGCATCTTCTACGATATTGCCCTCCCGATGAATGTGAGTGATTGGTAACTCAAACGTGTAAACCATATATTTCATATAGACGTGAAATAACTCCGAATACTTCATTGGCCAAATCTCGAAGCCATGAATTTGTACATTCGGAAAAAGATTCATGATTATGTTTATTTATTGTTTACACATCGATAAGATTGGATTTTGCGTTGGGCACTTACCTAAGCCGAATGTGATGAGTACTTTCAGATGGACTGTGGCAACCCGTTTACTTCGGACCTTTGAGATCTCGACCCAGACGGAAGAAAATCTAAGTAATCATATATAGAAGAAAAACCCAGATCTTAGGTGCCGAATCGGGAAATTAGATTCTACAACGGATTATATACAACGGGTGCTTGTTATCCAACTAAAATCTAAGTAATACAACTAAAATTGATAATACATGTTTAAAATAACAAATATTGATAAAGCTTATTTAATATTTTTTAATGGTAATAACAAGTATTCAATAATGGCTTAATTCCACTTTGCACCCTTGAAATATATCATTTTGATATTTTGCATTATCGAAACAAATTAATAGCACTTTGCACCCTCGAAAGTCGAAACACAATATATGATGTGTAATGCACCCCACATGACTTTTTAAAGCTAATAAATGTAATTTAATATTTTTACTGGTATTTAAAAATTATATTTTTTATCACAAAAATATTTTACGAAAAAAAAAAATCCTTCAGCTATTCCCGTTATCAAGTTATTTGAAAAATCATATTTTCTTCCAAATATTTCTACCTAATATTTCCACCAATTACAATAAAAGATCTATCAATTGAATAATTTAGTGATAAAAGTTTATTTGATTTTTTTTAAGAATACATATATATATATATATATATATATATATATATATATATATATATATATATATATATTCAATTATTCGGTGTGATTTCTATGTTTTCGCACTTTGTGTGCTCGAAATTAGGTCAGAGACAATTTAATTTATTATTTTGCGTCCTTGAAAATAAAAATCAATAAAACATGAAATTGTATTTATTATTTAGTTAAGGGTGGATGGTGAATAATTTAATGTGTTTTAATGGTACAAGGTACTATTATTATTTTTAAGAGTACAAAGTGGGATTAAGCCCTCAATAATTATCCAGGTGTTGGCAAGAAAGAGAAGCAAGAGAAAGTGGTCTCGCCCTGGGGCACTTTCATAATATGACCCATAAATTAAATTAAAATATTTGTAATTGATAATTATAATATTATACCCGACAAAAATAAAACATCATGTTACACTGCAAGAAATTAAATCCCATAATAATGCAAAAAACCATAGGCTTCATTACTCATGCACTGCCTGATTACTGCTCCTACCTAAACCCTCACATTTTCCCAAGTCAAGATT